GGTTTAAAATTCAAGGAGCCAGTTGCTGGACCAGGCTTGTGGGCCTGTCCAGGTCCTTTGTAGCCTCCCTTTTCCTGTCCGATTTGATTTTCTTTTTAATTTCGCTCATTTTGCAAACAAGGTCACTTCTGGGGGTTCTACCCCTTCTGTTATGTCGTTCCTTTTAAACCAAAGGGAACAAAAACAGGCCCTGGGGTCTGACCCCTGTGGAAACCCGCTTGTCACGGGGGGCCCCCCCTTCTGACACCTCGTCGCTTTTCCAGACTCGTTGTTGCCCCCCTTTGTCAGGTTTTCTCTGATAAAATTTGGATTGTTTTTCCCTTTTATGTTTTGCCTGACCCTTAGTTTTTTCAGAAAACCCTTGGGGGAAAATTTTGTCAAAGGCCTTTTTTGCGTCACAAAAATTTATGCGTCGACCCCCCTCTATCTTGTTTAAATTCTGCCCACATTGTCTTTAAAACTCTGTAGGTTTGTGAAACAGGATTTTCCTTCCCTAAAAACCCGTGCTGGTTGTCAGTTATACACTTTTTTCCCTTTCCAGGGCCCCACCCCCTTCCCCCTGATGATTTACCCGGGACCTTGATCTATAAAAACTTTTGTGATACATTTCTTTTGTTTAGTCCCTCTTGTCTGCCCCCCCTTTTTTAAAAAAATTGGGACAACATTTCCCTTTTTTAAAATACCTCAGGAGTTGCCCAGTTTAAAATGATGTGTTGAAAAATCTTTGTTAATGGCTCACAAAAATTTCTTTTCCCCCTCTTTAAGGCCCTTTGGGAGATTTTTGTCTGGTCCCACCCCCCTTTTGAGGTGCCCAGTTCGCCGCAGTTCTTCACCCCCTTTCCTTGGTTATATGTCCCCTCATCCAGAAATTTGATGGTGTGCCCCTCAGTTCTGTTTTTTTGGAGCCCCTAGGGTTTTTCCACTGTAAAAAACTCTTTAAATCTTGTGTTTGAGCTTGCCCAAACCTCCCCCGGCCCGTTTCTTGTGAATTCCCCACCCTTCCTCGTCTGATTCCCTGGCCCCTTGATGTTTTTTTCCCTCCGATGTGGCTTTTCAACAGCTTCGGGTCAGTTTTTAATTTTGATGCTAGGGGTTCTTTTTCCCATATTGTCTCGGGCCCTCCCTTCTTTTTCTGTGAATATTCGTTTCGGCTCTTCGGCCTTGTTTTCTTTTTTTTTCCTGAGTTATCTGTTTTTCTGTATTTTCCATTCTCTAGTTCCCCCAGTTTTTTCCCTTTCCCTAAAACCTTTGGGTAAAACCAAAGGAAATCGTTCTGTTTTTCCCCATTATTTCTGTTTCCCTTGGGAAAAAACCTCTCCCTGCCTCCTTGCATTTTTTTTGCTACATAGCCCATAAATTTCTTGAAAGGGTTTTTCCCTTTGTCAGTTCCCTCTCCCACGTTGTCTTGAAGGAAGTTCCTCATGCCGGTATTTCCCCCCTTTTTTTGTTTGGTTTTTCCCAGCCTATTCCTGCTACTCTCTCCATTTGGAGCTAACTATTTTGGCGAAGCACAAAAAACCACATATCACTAGCCCCCAGGGGCCCCTTTATACTGATACCCTCGATGCCCGAACTACTCATGGTGAATAAAAGGGTTTCCAGCCTTGTGGTTCATCCTCTCCCTCTTTTGGGAAAGTGCCCTTTAACATTTTTGATCCCATGGGGTTTTTCCAGTACCACTTTCCATCATCTTGGCTCTCCATGTTTCGGGACCCCAGGGGGGCTCCAGGG